CGAAGTCATCCTTGGCTACGTAGAGAGTTCAAGGCCAACCTGGGCTACTTCAGATCCTGTCTCAAAATAGGTCAGGCATAGTGCCAAACTCCTTTAATCTTGGCACTTGGGAGGCAGAAGCAAGAGGATCTTTGTGAATTTGAGGTCGGCCTAGTCTATATAGCAAATTCCAGGCCAACCAGATTACAAAGAGAGACCCTGTCTCAAAGCTAAACAAAAAACCCACCATCAATGTTATGGCCCAAGCAGCTCCAGAAACAAGCAAATGCAGCTTCATATTCTCTTGTGGCTCAGCATCCTTTAAAAACATTGCTGCATCTAAATACCACTCAGGAGAGAGGCGGCATCTGGCTGGCAAAGTGATAAAAACACTTACAAACACTTACACAAGAGTAAAGGCTGGAAAATGAACCCCCTCCTCTTCCAGTGAGTCCTAGAGCTAGCTGAAGGCAGCACCACACATACATATGCATATATATGCAAACAAGCTGTTGTTAATACTGTCAGCTTGACAGGATCCAGAGTCACCTAGGAGACCAGCCTCTGGGCATGTCGGTGGGGGGTTATCTCTACTAAGTTAGTGGAGGCAGGCTTTAACTGTGGGTAGCTCATTTCATAGGTTGGGGTCCTGGACTGAGTGAACAGGGGAAAGGGGCCCTGAGCAGCTTTCATCCACCTCTCTCTGCTTCCTGCCTGCAGCTGCAATGTGATCAGCTGCTTCCTGCTCCTGGTACCATGCCTTTCCTGCCATAATGGCAAAATAAACCATTTTTTCCTTAAGTTGATTTTGTGAGATATTTTGTTGCAGCTATGAGATACGTATTACACCTAATTCTGCCTGGGTGGGGGCGCAAAAGAAGAAAAAAAGTTAGGATAATATAATAATTCCTGCTTTATACAGGAGTTTGTATGTAAAGGGGGTACTGAGTATAAAGCACTTTGCGCAGTACCTAGCACCGGAAACACTCATCGGTTGTAGCTGGTCTGCTATTCTAACTAGGTGATCGGCACTAAGAGAGCAGGCATCTTATCTGTCTTGTACACATTGCTCACTAGCTGTGTAGGTTCTCGGAAGAACAAAGGTTCAGTGGCATCTCCCTCTGTACTACCCCTGCTGTGGGTCGTGTCCCGGCGGTGCTAGGGGCCAGGCTCTGCCCGGAGCCACACCCCTAGGAGCGGCAGCCGCCAGGGCCAGGCTATTGTTGTGGCTAAGATTCTTTCCCCAAATGGAAAGCCACAAATTAGAGAGGAGCTTTGGCTCCGCTCTCAGGAATTGAGGGAGGTCACCAGCCCATCGGGGGGCCTCCTTCCAGGTCCGAGTCCCTGTCTTGGCGCAAACCGGCACCCCTCTCAATGCTGCATTCTCTGCACCCCACCTTCTCTCTAAGCCTCTTGCCCTCCCTGAGACCCCAGCTCCTGCTGTCCTCTGCCCTGAGGCTACCAGGGCTCTTTCACCCCTAGCCCAAACAACAATCCCCCCCACCCCAGGCCCTGCTCAAATCCCCTCTTTGAAGCTCCCCACCCCATCCAAGCGGAACAAATCGCCCCTGCCCCACCCCCATCATCTGCTTTCTTCGTCTCCTTGCAACAGAGCTGGTCAGTCTTCCTCTGTGGTCCCCCTGCTCCCCACCTCTGCCGCCAACCTCCCCATGAGTCCCTCAAGAGGATGTGACCCCCGTCTGCTGACCCCGCAGCCCAGGGAAAGTGTCCCCAATGATCTGTTGCCAGCAGCCTAGAGGGAGGCTGGCGAGGGGCGGGTGCAGGGAGAAAAGGCTTAGGCCACAGGTCCAAGGCTGGTGGAGAGCCCAAGGAGAGGTCAGATCCATCCACCATTCCTGGGTTGCCACAAGGTGCTCGTGACTTCTCAGCCCACCCTCAAACGACACAAAAGCCTGTCTCATCATCCACATTTGACAAGAAGGGCTGCCCAGAGAGGTTATGTTTTTGTTGGAGGCAATGTCAAAAAAAGAGTGGAGAGTCAGGATTGGAATCAAGGCAGGGCTAAAGTGTGAATGGTTGTGGCTTGGGGGCTGTGGCTGGCTGGGGAGATGTAGACAAGAGTCTCCTTTGTGACTGCAGGCATGAGGTCTGAAGCCAGAGCTGAAGGCTTCTCGGGGCCTATCTCACTATTCCCGACACTGCCCAGAGCTATTCCCAGTCTGCCTGTCAACCCTCTCCTGAAAGGAGCCGCTTCTGACTCAGGCCCATTCCCAGCTCAGGTGTTCCGGGAATGAGGTCTGAGGTCGGACATAGGAAGGAAACAGCCCTCAGACTTAACCTCCCCCTCCCCCAGGTCCTGGCTAGCGGGCAGGAAGGAGCCACTTTAAAGATTTCCCTGGGGACCCACGACCAGAAAGAGAGGATCTGGCCCTTGTTGAGTGCCCCATGCGAATTGAGGGCCTCTGGATAGAGGGATGTGGGCCTCCATCCTCTTAGGACAGACAGATATATGGCCTCCCATCCTTCTGTTTCTTGTCCGTCTTACTCCCCCAGCTCTTTCGGGGTCCCTCAGCATTTGCCTTCTCCTGTGTGCGCCTGCTCAGGCTGTGTGTTCCTGGGTCTGTGTCTGTCCCTAGACACTTTGTCCACTGGCATCCTGGCATGAGGCACTGACACTTCAGACTGGGAACCCCTGAGAGCAAGGCTCTCAGACTCTCACCCCTCCAACTGAAGACCCCCAAGAGCGGCACTACCCTCTGACTAGGGCTCTCTAAGGCTCTGCCCTCTGATTGAGTACCGAGGGGGAGCCGGCTCACTTCAGAAGTGTGGAAAACAAGACATCCAATCAGGATGACCCCCCTCTTACCCCCTGGGTTCCCCTTCCAGTAGTCTAGCATCTGTTCTTGATCCCCAGAACACAGCTGTGAAGGGGCCCCTGCCAGTCCCTCCACCTAACCCGGATGCTCCTTTAAAAGCAAAGGAGTGGGGGTGGCCTCAGTGAGACACTAGGCCCCATCCTCCCCCTGGCAGGCCAGGTTTCCTGCCATTGACAGCATCCCAGCTGGGCCCCCGCCCGGTCTCCCCCCTGTTTAACCCTTCATGCTCAGGCTACAGGGCTACTGGCCTGGACCCTACCTGCATCTACCAAACTAGAAGGGACCGTTTCCCTGGATTAAATATATGATCACGATGTGAAGTAACAAGAATGGCCCTTAGCACATATATCTTCCTCAATAAAAGTCACCTGTTGGGGTGAAAATGTAACTCAGTTGGTGGAGGGCTTGCTTAGCATACACAGGGCCTGAGTTCCACCCCCAGCATTGGACTGCACAAAATCAGGCATGGTGGCTCATGCCTGTAATTCCAGCATTCTGGAGGTGGATAGGAGGATCAGAAGTTCAAGGATAGCCTGGTCTACTTGACACCCCTTCTCAAAACAAAACAAACAGCCATCCTCGTGTGAATTTGGACAAGTCATTTCACTACCCTAAGCCTCAGTCTCTTCAGCTCTAAATGGGAAAAATGATAAAACTTAACCCTAAAGATTATCTTCGAGACGAATTGTGACAATGTGCTGAAAGTATTTTGTCAAATGCTGTAACAAAACAATTTTGTTGTTATGGACAAAAATAAATACCCCCCTCCTCCCCTTCATAACAGTGGGACAGGGATCCAGGGGCTCACAGAAGGTCAGGGACCAGGGGTGAGGGGGACCGGGTCCAAGCATTGACCTTTGAACTCTGGGTGATGGAGCGTTCACCTGTGGAGAGTGTAACACTCCAATGGAAGGCTTCTCCTTCGTACAAACAGGGTTGGGGAAATCTGGCAGGCTCCCCAGGTAGGAAGCCAGAGGAGCCTCCTCCACCCCTCTCTTCCATCAAGGTATGTTGTGTGTCCCAGCGTCTTCCCATCCCATTCCAGGCCTAGGGAAGGTAACAGCATCTTCTGGACAGGTGATGAGCCTTGGGTTCTCAGACAGACTCTGGGTCTAGCCAGACAGACATGGGGGCAGAGGAGAGAGAGAGCTTTGGGGGTCTGCACATGTCCCTCCTGCTTGACTCAGTTCCTCCCCATGAAGTGGGGTTACTATTCCTGCCGAGCCCTATCTAGGCTCCAGGGGAGGAGGCTCAAGGGAGATCAAGGGCATAGATGGGAATGTGCCTTGCAATCATTAAAAGTGTTAGAAGGAAGGGAGGGAGGGGGTTTATGCTAAGTGGGTGGTAGGGGGTGGGCGCAACCCGGAGAGAAACAGAGGCAGAGCCAAGCCCCAGCCTTTGAACTCTAGTGCTAAGGAGTTGACCTACTGAGAGGGGTGGGGCTCCTTCGTGGCTAGGGCTTCCCCTGGAGATAAATGGAGTCAGAGAAGAGTCTGCTGGGCCGCTAGGGATCCCAGGCAGGAGGCCAAAGGATGGAGGCTTAGCCCTGGAAGGCCTCTTTCATCACAGCCTTCCCGTTTGCCATCACAGAGCAGGACCACTGAGTTCTTGCTCAATCCTCATGCTAAGTCTTGCTGGGACAGGCTCTCAACACACCTGCAGCACCCTCACCCATCCTTAGGCTGCAGATGCCAGGCTCATCTCTAGGGAGAGCAGGCTTGCCACACTCCAGAACCAGGATCAAAACAGGCTTATACCTGCTAGAGGGGAAAAAGCAAATGGCATAGCGTCCTCTTCCGTCCTCCAGTCAGAACATGGAGACTTCAGAAGGAGCCTGGGGAGTAGAAGGTCTCGTTTGGGTTCATGGTACTTCAGCCCAAGTTTACGGTGGCTCCATGGCAACAGAACTGATTTAACCATCTGTAAAGTTGCTGGACACGGCTCACAGGTCCTGTCAGCACCAAGACTGGTCAGGAAGGAGTTAATTGAGTCTGAGCTCTGGGTCAGGAAGGGTTAACCTAGGGGGTGGAGGCTCTTCGCTTTTCCTGTGGAGAGTAAGGCTTGGCTGCCACCAAAGTTACTCCCTGGTCCCCGCTGTCCCTCTAGCCTTCAGTCTGGGCCTACCGAGGGACCCCTGCAACTCAGTGTCTCCACACGGAGGTGAGTGCATCTGGGTGGGAGGGTATGAGGACAGGAGGGTACCTTGGGGCTGCTGGTAAGGAGGCTAGTGCCAAGCTACTAAACTTGGAGGCGCCAATGTTGAGAGCTGAAGCCTCTACGTGGACAGAGTTGGAATTTCTAACTCAAGGGCTGGGAGAGGGTAGGTAACGGGGACAGAGAGGACAAGACTGACTACCAGTCTAGCATGGGCCGTCTGTGGTCAAACATCAAAGGCAGCCCAGAAAACAGGGAAGAAGCGGGGGACAGCAGACTATTTTGGTCCTTGTGTTTAGGGACTTTTTATAGCCTCCTTGCTCAAGGCTAAAGAGAGAAGGAGGGGACAGAGGCCGTCCATGAGGTCAGACAAGCTCAGTGCCCTCCTGGGACCTTGGCATCTGACCCAGTATAGTCCCTGAGTGAACAGAGCGGGACACTGGCAGGCTGTCCTTGCTGTCTAGGTTTCAGTCACAGTGGACACATTCACCACATACTAGGTGGCAGTGTGGAGTAGTGTGTGGAAAGTTTAACAGGTTGGGCTGAAGTGACCAGGGTCTCTGCTCTAAGGCCTCTGTGAAGGGTGGAGGGCACATCCTTCTTCACACATCCTTGCCTAGTCTGTGCCTTTTTGCCTCCAGAAGCAAGGTCCTTCAGACCCCAGAACCAATAAGTCTCTTTCAGCTGTGTGGGAACGGGAAATGGGAGGACAGGGGTGGGTGTGTAGAGCCATGTGGGTGGCCCATTCTGTGAGCTAACAAGGAAACTGTCAGCTCTTGATTTACTGTCCCTCCTGCCCTTTTACCCAGGACAAGGGAGGTGAAGAAGAAGGGTCAGAGGTTTCTGGATGAGAAGCCGGCAGGACCCCGAGGGCAGATTTCTGGGTGTGCAGGTTATTAGGCAGACTCAGTGGAGGGAACTGCTTAGTGAGACTGGGGTTCCTGCCGGGGTCCACAGCATCAGAAGCAGAACCCAAACACCAGAGTAGTTCTGACCGGCAAGCCGGCGTCCAAGCCGGTCTAGATCTGCACGATAAGGCGAGAAATCTGGGTCCCAGGTGGCACCCTAACTCTCAAAAGGACCCACACAAGCCCTTTCCTCTTCTGGCCATTGTCCTGGCGTCTGAAATGGAAGTGCGGGGGTTGGACGAGGTGGTGTTTACCGGTTAAGTTTTTCTGGAGTCCCCTTGGCATAGGGCACACAGTGACTGGCAGTAGAGACTGACGCGGCCTGGGGACCACCTCCCTCTCCTTCCTGAATAGCCCTGCTGGGCCTGGGCGAGGAAGCTGGCAGCAGTTCCTAGAGGTTTCTACCCTATGGTTATGTCCCTGACCTCGGTGCTTGGGGGCGGGAAGGGTGGGCCGGCTGCAGGCAGCCTGTGGCTGCGGAACCTCCTTGTCTTGGGCTTGAAGTTGCTCTGTTGGGAAGAGGTATTTTTTCCGGTTAAAGCCGATTTCGGGAATTGAGCTAGGGCCCGCCTGATTTTCCTTTCCAAGTGTCCTGCTTGCTTGTACCATGCGTGGCCCAGGGGCCAGATCAGAGTACTCTCAAAGGGGCATAAATCCCCTCCCCTCAAATTATCCAATGCCTCTTAAGGAGGTCTGGCTCTTGCTCCCCGGGCATCGCACCAGCTGATGGGGGAGGGGTGAGTAGATGATCCTCTACCCAGGAATGCCTGCAGGAGAGGGCCAGGGACAGCCTACCCTCTCCCAGACAGTTCCTCTCTCCCTGCAGGCCGCAGGAACTCCAGAGAACAGTTCGCTGCTCCTCAGCTACCTGTGCATCCCTAACTGTGTATGGAGCACTGACCTGCCCAGCTCCACTAAGATGCTCCTGGCCTCTCCCTCCACGCCATCGAGGGCACGAACCCCCAGCGCCGTGGAGAGGCTGGAGGCCGACAAAGCCAAGTACGTCAAGACGCAGCAGGTGATCGTACGTCGTCAGGAGCCAGCCCTGCGAGGGGGACCAGGACCGCTGACGCCACACCCTTGCAATGAGCTGGGAGCCTCTGCCTCGCCCAGGACGCCTGGGCCTGCTCGCCGGGGTAGCGGCAGGCGACAGCCGAGGCCTGACTCCCTCATCTTCTACCGCCAGAAGCGGGACTGCAAGGCTTCGGTGAACAAAGAGAACGCCAAGGGCCAGGGGCTAGTACGGCGCCTCTTCCTGGGCGCCCCCCGGGATGCTGCCCCGAGCAGCCCGGGACCTACAGAGAGACCCGCGGCTCCTGCGGGCTGGGCTGGGTCCCCGGATGCTCCGGAGGCGACAGGGAAGAGAGCGTTGTGTCCCACGTGCTCGCTGCCCCTGTCGGAGAAGGAGCGCTTCTTCAACTACTGCGGCCTGGAGCGCGCGCTGGTGGAGGTGCTGGGCGCCGAGCGCTTCTCCCCGCAGAGCTGGGGCGCCGAGCACAGCCCGCAGGTCGCAACGTCGCCGCCGCCGGCCTCCGGGGACACCAGCGATTGGACATCCAGCGACGGGGACGCGGGCAGCCCGGACTGTGCGGGAGGCGGCGGTGGCGGCGGCTCGGAGGCGGCGGGGTCCGCGCGGGACGGACGCCCCTCGGTGTCAGTGGTGGAACGCAACGCGCGCGTCATCCAGTGGTTGTACGGCTGCCAGCGCGCGCGCGCCCCGCCGCGCGAGTCCGAGGTGTGAGCATCACGGCACGGGAGACGGCTCCCGGAGAGCTCGCCTCGTCCGTGAACAAACCCTTTGCCTAGATCTGTTTCCCCATCTGCACCCTGAGCAGGCGGGACCACGAGGGCCAGGCGCAGACTGAGGGAAGGGGTGGGGTGGGGCGGGGGCCACGTAGCCTTTCTGGAGGCTGAAGGTGAGCAGCGATGGACTGGGGTGGGTGGGAGATGAGCGAACTACTGAATAAAGCTAAAATATTATTTAATAAAAGGATCGTGAGTGTGGCTCAGCGGGCAGAGGTTGGGGAAAGGGGAGGACTGGTTTGCGTGGCTGAGTGTTTTGAGTGTGGGTTCCAGGCTGAGTGTGACCTTGGCCAAGCACTCCGCTTTTCTCGGTTGTTAAAGGCGTAAATAGCGTCTTGGAGTAGTTGTAATGCACGTGGCAAACGTGCCTGGAATATAGAAAGTGCTCAATAAACGTAGCTTGCTTGAGCCACCTAGGATTCTTGGAGCTTAGCGTCCCCTTTCCGTCCCCCATGGTCCCGAGGTAAGAAAGTCTGAGTTTTGGAGGGTCCGGAATGGAGATCATTAAGACTGGGGCACCCTTGGGTCAGGATTTTGCCATCTGTAACCTGCTGTGTGTGTGTGTGTGTGTGTGTGTGTGTGTGTGTGTGTGTGTGTGTGTCCGTCCCAGGCCAGCCTCACCCTGCTAGCAACCACTGAGGTTTATGTGATAACCGGGGATCGAACCCAGGGCTTCATGTGCTAGGCAAGCAAGCCCTCTACCAACTGAGCTATACTTCCAGCAGAGATCCCCCCCACCCCCCCCACCCCCCCACCCCCCCACCCCCGCTCCAGACCACTCAAAGTCGCAGGTTTTCTTCACAGGTTCCTGTCAAAGCCTTTGTTCAGGATCCCCCTCCTCTGCCATAGGTTTCCTTCCCTAACTGTATTCTTGGAAGATCACACTCACAGTCTCCTCCAGGAAACTTCCCCAAAATACCCGGTCTGCCCCATCCTCTCTGAGCTCACACGGGCAGCTGCGTTTTGTTCCTCAGCAAACCCTTGTCTGGGACCGGCTGGTGGAGAGCTGCCTCGTTCGTTACTCCAGATTTTCACACATTTTGAACCAGCGTCTGCCGTTGGGCCACCAGCAGGGTTTGCTGAATGAAAGGAAGCGGGACAGGGCAGTGGAGCGCGTCCTGGGGCTTTCTGGAAAGCTGTACCTTAAATCTAAGGCCACCCATCCTGTCACCTGGAGTGTTTCGGCACTTCCGTCGGGAAAGAAGGCGAGGAAAGCTTTAGCTAGACCCCGCCACCCTGAGATCGCCCACCGAAAAGTAGCTTTTCCTGTTGTCGGGAAAGAACTGACACCGTCACACGGGGTGTCGATCCGGGAGTTTTTATGGGGAGGTAGGGAAGGGCGGGCGCCGGCTAGTCGCCCTTGGGCGCGGTCTTCACCCTCATCTCTGCCAGTTTGTGGGTGAGGAAACCCCACTTGAAGCCTGCCGCGGGGTCCACCTCCCGGGTCTCGGGGCACTCCGCGGCCTCCTCGGCCGGCTTGTCCCCGGGCTCGGGGTCCCGCTCCGCGGGGGTCTCCACGCCGCGCAGCATGGACGCCGCCGCCTGCTGTTGCTGCTGCCATCTGCTGGCGAACGCGTCCCAGAATCCCGGCCCGCGCGGCTCCGTCTCGGCCGCGGCCGCCTGCGACGGGGGAGGCGCCGCCAGCGGGCTGCAGGAGAGGCGGGGGTCAGCGGGCTGGCCCGGGGTCCCGGAAGGGGACAGTGGGCAGGAGAAGGGACAAGAGGTGCGGTCAGGGGGCAGTCGGGGCAAGGTCAGGGCCTGCAAGCAAAGGGAGGGTTCGGAGGCTCTGGGGGGAAAACCGTCAGGTGGGACAGGGTCAGGGGAGGACGGGAGAGGGCAGAGGGGACCCGGGATCCCCGAGTTGGGTGGAGCGGTCAGGAGTTTGGAGAAGGAACTCCGGTGCAGAGAAGAATAGACTAACGGAAACAAGCCAGGTCCGGAAAGCCAGGGAGGGTCTCTAAGAAGGGAAGGGCACGAGAGAGAAAGTGGGGTGGGCTTGCTTAGGCCCCATAGCAGGGACACCCCCACAACACACACACACACCGCGGGAGGCGGGGAGAGCCAGGCGAGCAAAGTGGTTAGGATCCTCTAGGCTTGAGGGAAGAGGAACTGGGTACGCGGGAGAAAGTGGAGGAAATCCTAGCACAGATGCTTAGGGACGAAGAGGTGGAAGCAACGTGCGTGCGGAAGGGCTGTCAAGGAGGGATGATGACGCCGAAGAAGGAGCCTTGCCTCTGGAAGAGTCCTCAGAGGACTGGGACGGGCAGGCAGAGGAGGTTAGGGGGTGGGGAGGAAAGGAACCTCGGCCACAAGAATAATGGATGGGGGTGGGCAGAGCGGAAGGGAATGTGATGTGGGTGCGCAGGGCTGAAGGAAAAGGCAGAGATGCGGTGGGTGTACGGAGACAGGGCCAGCGGAGATGAAGCCCTAGGTCTGCTCTCAGCATCTAAGACCTTATAAAACAGTGCTTTCCAAACCGGTGTGCCTTGGGGGGTCCTCTGGGATCCTCAGGTCTCTATGTACACCAAGAGAATCAGAGGAAGGGAACCTATGTTTGGTCACCGCTGCTTTGGAGGGTGAGGATTTACCATCTAGACCACCCTTTGCTGCAGGCACCTAAAAAGGCCTTCTCTGCTGTCCTGGGTTCTAGGGAGTTGGCCGTCCTGAGGAAGAGGGAGGAGCTACCCATAAGGACTTCCCGTTACCTCTGTCCCAAGAGATCTAACCCCGCTGTATTTTGATAAGAGGACAGAGCATACAGGGGTGGTGAACAGAGCACAGAGAGCCAGCGTGGCAGAAGAGGGATCTTAGGATCCTTCTGTCCCTCACCGCCCAGCCTCCTGAGGCCACACGTACTGATCAGCGCAGGGCTCTGGTGGCAGCAGCTTGTCCTCATCTTCTTTGTTAAACAGAGATGACATTGTCAGCCAGCCCTTCACCCCAACCCCTTGAACCTGGGAGGAAAGAGCTGAGAGTCAGGATCGCATGCCACCAAGCCTCCTGGGGCTTCACCACAGCCTCTGCCAGGCTTCCCAGGGCTGGGTGGAAGACTGGAGAACTCACCCTTCGGGCCAGCTGTGACATGGGGTTGAAGGCCTCCTCCGGGGGTTCTGCCGCCTCAGACTCCACTAATGCTGGGTTCTCCCTCTGGGACACAAGACCCCACCCAGCCAGCATGAGAGAAGCCCCATTGCTAGCCAGTGCACACACACCCTCTTATACACCCACTGTGCATCTCCGCTAGGGCACATGGGAATGCTCACAGGTAGACTACATAATGCCTCTGGTCAATACACAGGTTTGCATGGTCAATCTCTATAGATACCTTTAAGCACATACACTCGCCCACTCCCACACATACCCAAACACACACACATAGAGTGGACCAGGGTACACTATGCACACGACTGCAGACACACACCTGTACGTGAGCATGCCTCTTTGTGGCTACCCCTTTCCTCCTGTGCACAGATGTATGAGCGTTAGGCAGTCACACAAGGACACTCATGTGGTTAAACAACCCATTCCTGCAGGCAGTTAGCTAAACAGAGGCCTATGCAGAGTTGTCAGAATTTCTCTACCAACCAAATGCAACACCTGCAAATGCCTCCATGAAAGCATACAGGTACAGAATCCTGCTTAAAATGCATATCCATACAAAAATCACTAAATCCAGTTCATAGCTGTACTGGAGTTTCCACGGAGGCACCAACTGTAGCATTTTCCTACAGACATGTCCATAGAATCCCAGCCTTGGACACCAGCATGTCTAGGCATATGCTTAGCCCCCCTCTCACCCACCCCATGGGGCTAGTTTCCGCCCCTGCCACACCCATTTGTGTGGCTGCCACTTATCGCAACTTCCAGACATAAACTCCTAGGTTCAAAGTCCATTCTGCCCTCCCCCTCGGAACTAAATATGGTCTAAGTATGGCTTTGATGGAATGCTGCTACTGTGGCCCACAGAGCGTAAGGACTACTTACTCCCTATTCCCACACGCAGGAGCTCATACCTCTCCAGGCAAACCGTCTCACTTCTTAGCTTTGTCTACTAGAAAGCTATGACGAGCTTAATGGACTTCTGTAGCTACTGCCACGTGGCATTAGAACAATCTTTATCTTATGGCAGTTCACGAGATCCTTGGAGTCAGCGCCTGCTTCGCCCATGCCCCAGCTCTCCCCTTTCCTGTGTTTTTTTTTTTAACATCTCCATCATTGATTGTAATCCCTGAATGTGCCTACAATCTTTGCATAAAAGAATCTGTCTCCTCTCCAGCTTATTTAATGCTCTTTATACTCCCCCCCCAACCCTGCCTTTGCTGTCCCTCTGTTCTAGAAAACATGGTCAGTACCCACCTCCTCCGCCAGGTCCTCTTCAGATTCTCCACCCAGAGTCTGTAGCACTTTGGACTTGTAAGCTTTCCAGAAAGTTTGGTTCATGGCTGCAGGGGAGAGGGGCCTGGCACCCAAACACAGAAGGTGGTAGCTTAATGGGCACCAGTGGATCTGGCTCCAGAAACTTGGAGGAACCAAGAGCCTGTCCCAGGGATCTGGTGACTTCATGAAAGATGCACCATTATCCCCAGCTGGCACAGTGCCGAGCAGGTAAACCGGATCCCAGTGATTCTGAGGCTGGGGCAGGCTTGTGCCACCTCAGCCCCTTGTCTTGACCCATATTGGCCAAAGTTAAGGAAGACAGCTCTTTGGAGAGTCCATTTTCCTGCACTTAGGAATACTGGTGGTTGTTCGGCTCTTAGAATAGCTGCTGAAAAAGTTTTCCACTCAAAATCTTGAGTCCAGGGCCCACACCTGTGCATGCTATGATTGTAGTCCTACTAGTCATGTTTTCCTCGGGGCCCCGCCCTGTGTCTCTACTCAGCCTTCAAGAGCTGGAGTGGGAAGGTCCCCAGGCCACCTCCAGTGAGCACTCTGGGCTTCCATTTCACTCCTTTGTCTGGCCTAGAAACCTGTTCTCCCCAGGGATGCACGTGCCCGTCTCCCTGTTTCCTGGCAACTGGTTCCAAAGAGTCGGAACCCTGAATTATTGCTGAGATCCTCTGGCCCCATACGGTGGAGTTGGCTCTGGCCAGCCTGAGCGGCACCAGGCCAAGATGAGCGAAGAAAGGCCCCCTGGCCCTCTCCTTACTCTAAGCACACACTTCTTGGTTATTTCCCCTTTTCCTGCCAGCCCTCTCCTAGGAGCCTGGGCATAGAGAAAGAAAGCAGAGACGAGGGTTCTTCTAGCAACATTTCCTCTTGGGCAGGGGATGGAGTCCGCCTGTTAGACCAGTTGCCTGGCATCTGTGAGGCCCTGGGTTCCATCCCCAGCACTGAAAAACCAACCAACCAACCAACCAACAAAAAACAGGAAAACTGACCCCTCTTCAAGTACGGAACACCTCCCCAGGTGCTAGATTCTCTGGGAAACAGTTCTCCACTCTTTGCCCCATGAATTTGCCTAGGAGTCGAGGGAGGACAGAAGAGACACAGACCCAAGAAAATAACGGGGGAGAGGCAAGAAGAGGCCCTTTGCCCTCGGGGTGCCCCATCCGTGATTCCAAACTTATTCTCATTTATGAAGTAATTTATTCACGGCACAAACATCAGTGCTTTCCAGAGACGTTGAAAGTATCCTCTCCAACTGAAATCCGAGGTGTGGAAACCGGGAAGTGATGATGGGACCGGCAGAGTGGAAGGATCCGCTACCCCCAGGCACGCCACCGCCCCTCAAGAGCCCAGTCACTATCATCCACGGCCACCGGGGGGCGCTCCAGCCACCAGCCCGTCCGTGACGTCATCAGAGGCGGTCTGGGCACTCTTGCTCCGCCCCCGGGCGGACCTCTCGTGACGTCATTGAGCGGCCCGGAAGCGCCAACACGTGTGGGTCTTTCCCTACTCCCAGCTCCTTGGTCTTGGTGTCACTGATCATGGGTCGCTCCCGCAGGACCGGCGCGCACCGAGCACATTCCTTAGCCCGCCAGATGAAGGCCAAGAAGCGGCGGCCAGACCTGGATGAGATTCACCGCGAGCTGCGGCCGCAGGGGCTCCCGCGGCCCAAGCCAGAGCTGGACGCCGAGCCCGACCCGGACCTGCCAGGGGGCGGCCTGCATCGCTGTCTGGCCTGCGCGTGAGTCCAGCCCGGGGCCGAGCAGGGTTTGAGGTACCAGCCCCATTGCGGTGAGATCCGGGCGGCGAGGCTCGCGGGATCTCCTGTCTTGGGACCCGTGGGTCAGCCCGCCTCCCATCTCTTCGGGCTCGGAATCTGGTGTCCGGGGACGAGTTAGGACCAGGGAGGTAGGCATACCTGAAAGGCCTCACCACCTCTTTACTCTTTCCCTTCACCCTACATCCCTGCAGGAGGTACTTCATCGATTCCGCCAACCTGAAGACCCACTTCCGATCCAAAGACCACAAGAAAAGGTATGAAGGGGTCAGGAGATGGTGAATGGGTATCATGCAGGTATGTCTTGCATCTGATCAGCTCCAAACACCTATTCTTCCTTCTCCCAGGCTGAAGCAGCTGAGCATCGAACCCTACAGTCAGGAAGAGGCTGAGAGGGCAGCGGGCATGGGCTCGTATGTGCCCCCCCAGCGCCTGGGCGTGCCCACAGAAGTGTCCACTGAGATCCCTGAGATGGACACATCCACCTGAGGGGCCTGAGGATATAGGGCAGAGAAACTGCCCATGGACAGTGGTTCAGTGCTAGTCTCAGAGTGTGTACTTTGGGTTTTGGGGAGATGATCTCTTCTGGGTGTTGTGCCCAAAATAAAGGACCTGGACAAGAGGGTGTACAGCTGATTCTAACTTCCCTTCCAGTCCTGCAGAGTCCAGCCCTGCAAGGGTTTCTGAGCCAAGATGTCTGTTCCTCATTGGGTCCAGCTTTGGAACCCGTACCCCTGCCTGCCTTCTTTGAATCTGGGCTGGAGTCCAGGTACAGTGTAAAACTGGGGAGTAGGGTCAGGTTTATTCTGTGTTAGTGGCAATGGCAGAGATACTGATCCCCAGGGGGGAAAACATGGGTTTCTGAAATTGCAGACCCTTCCCCTGAGTCGCCTACCTGCAAGCCTGGGTGAGAGGCTACCGGCCTCATCAGGGCGCCTTGGACAGCTGCCGCTGCCTCACCATCTTCCACACGGCATAGCAGGAGCCACCTAACCCGAGGACAGCCAGCGTCGTAGCCACAATCCCAACCAGCGGACTCCGGGGCTCTGCCTTCAGCTCCCCGGCCACCTGCATCTGGGAGAACACAAAGGGTGTACATACATGGTCAACGGAGACTTCTGGGTAGGAAGCGGATAAGATGGTGCTGCTGGGTGGAGAAGATATGGACGCCATTTCTGCCCCAGGGAGATTCCACCCCAATCCCTCTCGCCTCACTGCCCATCTGGGTCCTGGCTAGTCAGGCAGCAGGGAACGTGACAGTCTGGCCGTTGGGGGTATCAGCCCCGCCGTGAGAGGGGGAGGGAGAGGTGGTACAGAAAGCCAGTATTTAGATGTACTTACCTGTAGCACCCGGAAGTAGCCAGGGGTCAGGCGGCGAAATCTCATAGTTGGGGGCACTGGTCTCCCTGTCCTGTGGAGTGGGGGCAGAAATGAAGACTAGATTTCCCAGGGTATCAAGAGGTGGAAACCAGGGCATAGGAGTCCCTGACCTGTTTTGCCTGGGCACTGTGTGTTCAGAGGATGCTCTCCGCTGCTGGCTTGCCCAGGTCTGGCAGGGGGTGGGGCAGCTGGATCTTTAAATCTGGTCCCTTCCCCCCTGCTTGCCAGCCTTAGGGGCAGCTGTCAGGAGAGATCAGCATCAGGCCTGAGTAGCAGCTCCTCCCCCATTCACCAGAGAGGCCAGGCCAGGCATGTAGGCAAAGCTTTGGCTGGCAGTGCCAAGGAGTCCAGGCCTTAACCAGGTATGGGGCAGGCTTCCTCATCCCTGATCTGGACACTACTGTAGCACGAATCCTAATTGGTCTTAATAAAAACCTGGAGCCACATATCGGGGTAAACGCTGAAAGATCAGAGAGACAAAGGAGCAACAAGCCACAGCCACCTCTTACCTCACCATCTCCTCAGCCGAAAAAGACTGAGCTCCTGTCTCCTCCTGCCTTATGTTCCTTTCTGTGGCCCGCCACCTGTCTCAACCTCCCTAGTGCTGGGATTAAAGGCATGTGTGCCTCCCAAGTACTGGGAGCAAAGGCATGAGATCCCAAGTGCTGGAATTAAAGGTGTGTGCCACAACTGCCTGGTCTCTATGGCTAACTAATGTCTGGCTTTGCCTTCTGATCTGCAGGCAAGCTTTATTTGTTAGAGCATACACAAAATATCACCACACCATACTCCTACCTTGGATAAGTGAATGTACCAGTCAGCATTCGGCAAAAGAGGCCAGGTGACTTGTTAGTCACTTTTCTGTTTGGGTTCTGTAAATTCAACTACCTTGGAGGGTACACTTCACCTTCTCCCCAAGATGGAGTTTCCACAAGAACTTCTCTTGTGTGGGCTTTAAAAGAGAATTGCTTATGCAGATAAAATTGTCCATAATGTGTTGTTAAATTTAAATTACATCTATTTATGTATATGTGCATGTGTTTGTATACACGTGTGTGACGACATACGTGTGTGATGGCATACACATGGAGGTCAGAGGACAACTTGAGGGCGTTCTCTCCTTCCAACAAGGGGGTCCTGGGTGTCCAACTCAGCTCATCAGGCTTGGCAGCAAATGCCTTTACCCACAGAGCCATTTTGACAGCCTACATATTAAAAGATTAATTAATTGAAAAATGGTCTCTGTGTCATTGTTACAAGAAATTTCTGTGTATTTTGTTATCTCTCTTTTTTTCTTTTTTGAGACAGGATCTCTCTGCATAACCCTGGCCATTCTGGAACTTGCTCTGTAGACCAGACTGGCCTTGAACTCACAGAGATCCACCTGCCTCTGCCTCCCAAGTGCTGGGGTTAAAGGCGTGCGCCACCACTGCCCAGCTTTTTGCTGTCTTTGAAAATAACAAAAAGGATGATTTTCAGAATAGTGTGTAGAATATCTGTATAGAGAGTGAGAGGGCAGAGGGTGTGGCACGGTGACTGAGTGCGGTGACTGAGTGCCTGTCCCTAGCATCACAAAAAAGAAGAGATAAAAGAAAAACTAGGCCGGGTAGTGGTGGTGCACGCCTTTAATCCGGGCATTCTGGAAGCAGAGGCAGGTGGATCTGTGTGAGTTCGAGGCCAGCCTGGTCTACAGAGTGAGTTCCAGGACAGGTACCAAAACTACACAGAGAAACCCTGTCTTGAAAAACAAACAAAGAACTAGGCCAAAAATTGTTAGCTAGGCTTGGTGGCACAAGTCTGTAATCCCAGCACTCTGGAGGCAGAGGCAGAAAGGTCTCTGTGAATTGGGGGCCAGCGTGGTCTCCATAGTGAGTTCCAGAGCAGCCAGGTTTACAAAGAGAGACCTTGTCTCAAAAACAAGAAGAGAGACAAATAATACAGAGGTGAATATGGAGAAGACAGGATGAAACTCATCAGAGTTTGCACCTATCATGTGTGAAGCCCTGGGCTTCCATCCCCAGCACCCCATAAACCAAATGTCTCTTAGGTCTATAACCCCAATTCTCAGGAGAAGGACCACTAGGCTAAGGTCCTCCTCTGGCATACAGGGAAGTTCAGGCCATCTGGGATTCCTAAGCCTGAAAAGCAAAGTAACAACTTACAACTATTTCAAACCCTTGGTGGTCCTTAGCTCACTCTTACCTACACCCGATGGCATGCTTTGTCTCAGGCCACCTGCCATGTGGCCACCATTGCTTAGGATGACATCTGTGTCTAGCAGACTTTAGAGGGCCAAATGGCCACTCTATACCTGTTCTCACTCTGGTGACGCAGACTTTTCCATCATATTTCTGCATTCTCTCTCTTTAGTTCTTTGCTGCTCAAACAGGGTAGGACTGGGGTGGGGTTGGTGTTGGAGCACATGCCCAGGATGTAAGGCCCAAAGTGCAGTCCCCAGCACCACAAAAAGTATTAAGTGTTAAACTACATCACTCCTCCCACTCAATGTTCCTATTTATTTTTGAGACAGAGTCTTATGTGACCCTGGCTGATCTGGAACTCACTGTGTAGACCACATTGGCCTCAAACTCAGAGATCTGCCTGCCTCTCCCTCAGGAATGTTGGGATTAAAGTTGTGCACCATACCTGGCTAGTGTTCTTTAAAATAAATAAATAGCTGGGCAGTGGTGGTGCATGCCTTTAATCCCAGCGCTCAGAAGACAGAGGCAGGAAGGCAGATCTCTGCCTGGCTATTTTTTTTTTTTATCAGAGCTGAGGACTGAACCCAGGGCCTTGCGCTTGCTAAGCAAACACTCTACCACTGAGCTAAATCCCCAACCCCAATTGCCTGGCTATTTTTTGAGATTAAAATTTAAAAAAAAAAAATGTGTGTCTGAGTGTTTGCCTGAATTTATATCTGTGTACCATTTGCATGCCTGGTGACCTCAGAGGCTAGAACCTCCCAAGTACTGGGATTAAAGGTGTAATCCTAAAAAATTGTTTTGTGCTTTTTAAAAAAAGTTTTGTGTGTACTGGTGTTTGCCTGCATATATGTTTATGTATCATGTGCATGCAGCTCCTGAGGAGGCCAGAAGAGGGCATCAGATCCCCTGGAACTGGAGTTACAGTTTTGAGTCGACATGGTGGGTCCTAGGAATTGAACTGGTGTCCTCTGCAAGAGCAGCCAGCTCTTAACTGCTGAGCCATCTCTCCAGCCCAGCTGTGCTGTGCTTTTAAGAACATTATTCTTGCTGATTCTGTGATACAAACTGTGGTCCACTGGTTTTGGAAGCCAGAGCAGGAGAATCACTTCAACCCGTGAGTTGGAGAGCAGTCTGAGCAACATAGCAAGAATGAAAAGCATCTCAAAAATCGTAGCAAGAATAAGAAGTGCATTCAGAAGGCAGCTAACATGTCTGCAAATGTTTCTCCAGGGGAATGGTTGGTGTGTTTCCTCTTCATTTGCAACCAATAAAGGCTGTTTGTGCCCTAAAATAAATAATAGCTGAATTAATGAAAAGTCTTACTTTGAGAAAGGGACTCTAATTCTCTATCTTTTTTTTTTTTTTTTTTTTTTTTTGGTTTTTCAAGACAGGGTTTTTCTCTCTGTAGTTTTGGTGCCTGTCCTGGAACTCACTCTGTAACCCAGGCTGGCCTCGAACTCACAGAGATCCGCCTGCCTCTGCCTCCTGAGTACTGGGATTAAAGGCGTGTGCCACCACCGCCTGGCCACCTCTAATTCTCAACAGACTGTCAAAGGATGCAAAATAAAAGGGGACAGAGTCCCACACTCAATGTTTTTATTTACTTAGTTTTAGTTTCTGCTGTGGCTTTTTTGTGTTTTTGGAAGGGGCTCACGCTGTAGTCCAGGTCCTCCTTGAACTTGGAGCGATCCACACTGGCTCAGCATCTAGAGTCCTGAGATTACAAGCAAGAGACACCATGACCCACTGTTCTAAATAAAGTCATTTGCCCAGATACTCACAAATGTCCCATGAAGCAGGGACTATTATGCCCTAGAACTGAGCACCAGGAGTTAGGTCAGCTGTCGCTGCAGCAATTCCAGATGGCAATAATGAGCTATCATGGGGACCCCGGGGTGAGGGTGGTGGGCTAGCCATGGGCTTTGGTTCTGCGCCAAACCCTCATCAGACACTCTGGTTTTTAGGTGCTGAGGTCAGAATCCCGGGCTGGGATATGGGGCCAGTTTTTTGTTTCTTTGTTTGATTGTTTTGTGGTTGTTTTAGACAAAGTCTCCCTACACAGCCCTGGCTAGCCTGGAACTCCTCTATGTAGACCCGGCTAACGTCAAACTCACAGGGATCCTCCTGGTGAGGCCAGTTTGGGGCCGAATCTCATGTCAGTTCCGGACAGCCGGAGTCACACCCCCGCGGCGTCAGCCCCGGAGCCCGGCTGCCTAGCTGCCAAAGTCCGAGGATGCCAAAGGGGCAGGGCAGGAGGAAGACAGACGGTGGGCCAATGGCCGTCGCAGGGCCTCACCTGGGTGGCCACGTGGGCCCAGGTATGCGGTGGCCCCGCCCTGGCCCAGCCCGGCGGGCTCGGGCTCGGTCCGGGAGCGGAAATTCCTGCAGGGGCTGGACGTTGCGGGCGGAGCTCAGCATGGAGCCCGTGGAGGCCTGGACCCCCGGGAAGGTGGCAGCCTGGCTGAGAGGTTGGTGAGCCGGGGGCAGAGGTGGGATCGAAGGGAATAGCGTGGTGTCCCTTGGGCAGAAAGTAGGGAGGGGAAAAGGAGAAGAACCTGAGTCTATTAGTCAACAGGTATTTATAGAGCGTCTGCCACGTACCAGTGTAACAAGGTCCCCTGAACAGGCACAGTGCTGGCAGAGATAGGCCAGGCGACACCAAAGGCCCTAAGACGCAGGAAGGGGTCTTCTCATATTTTTGTATGTTCAAGCCGCCAGGGTGGCGACAAGTAGGTGCAGTAATATGCAAAACAGGGTGGCCCTGGTGGCCCACGCCCCCTTTTATCTCCGACATCTTCCCTGTGCCCCAGGGCCCTGCGAGCTGTTTATTAAGCCCATTTTTCGGAAGTACAAACAGGCCGAGAGCCAGGAAGTGATTTGTTCAGTCTTGGAACAGGGCCGGCCCTGGTGTCATATTCCCCTCTCCTCAAACCGAGGTCGGCAGTGAGAGAAGCAGAAACCCCAGCCATTCTGAAGGGGTGACACAGCCCCACCCTGGGGTTTCCATCAGAGTGAGGATCACTCACCGGGCGACCAAGAGACATAAACACAGGCTGACTCAGAGAATTGAGAGCCTTCTGTAGCTGCATCAGGGAGTGAGGAGGCCACTCATTGCTCTCACAGGGGCAGCTGGAGCTTGCTGGAGGCCTTTTCAGTGTGAGCAGCCCAAGAGAGCTGCAGTCACACTCCCAGACTGGGGCCCGGGCCAGCACTACCACTCACCAGGTCTGTGACCACAGGTCTGAGTTTCTCTAGCATGACATGGACAAAATGTGACTGGCATGTGTGGCTCCATGTTGGTGTCTCCTGGGAGGGTGGAGGCAGCCCAACACATTCAACGTGGGAAGGAAGTTGTCCAAGTAGCCCTGGCTTAATGAGCGCCCAGTCAGGACTCGATGCTATAGGAGGAATGAGGAACACCTAATGACACACACATTCTCCGGTGACAGTCTGGCTGGTGGGGTGGGAGCAAGGCACTATCTCTCCCTCCATTAGTTTTCCCGATGACATCATCAGGGATGATGTATAGTCCCCAACTTCTAGAAATGTGAAGATCAAATGTGCCAATATGGGTAAAGTTCTTTTTATTTGTTTGTTTTTGAGACAGGATTTGTTTCTCTGTGTAGCTCTGGCTGTCCTGGAACTCACTCTGTAGACTAGGCTGGCCTCGAACTCAGGGATCCCCCTGTTTCTTTATTCCAAGTACTGGGATTAAAGGCATGTGCCACCACACTTGACTATGGGTAAAGTTCTTAAAACATTGCCTCACACAAAGTAAGGTCACGGTAGACAGCCTGGCGATAATGTGATGGCTGTTACTGCCTGACTACGGACCACATGTTTGGCACACATCAGTCATCTAAAACATGTGTTTACAAGGCAGGTGCTTTCATTGTTCCTATTTTATTTAGTTTTAAATTTTTATTTATGAGTATTAGTGTTTTGCCTGCATTTATATGTGTGTACCCTAAATGTGCTTAGGAATGATGGTTATAAGCTACCATGTGGGTGCTGGGAACTGAACCTGGGTCCTCTGCAAGAACAGTAAGTGCTCTTAACCACTGAGCCATCTCTCCTATGTAGCAGCCCTGGTATCCTGGAACTTGCTTTGTAGACCAGGCTGGCCTTGAAATCACAGAGCTCTGCCTGCCTCTGCCTCCTGAGAGCTGGGATTAAAGGCTTTGCTACCACCACCCAGCCCCATCTCTCCTGTTTTAAAAGTGAAGAGATTAAGCACAGAACTAGTAGATATCTTAAGTGTTAGCTCCTGCTCAGGTGGATGGGATGTGAGTGCCGGGGAAATAAGCTCAGGTCCTCTGTAAGAGCAGTACGTGTTGTTCTTAACCACTGAAGCATCTCGCTAGCCTCTTTTAGTTTTTGGTAACTGGATTGCAAGGTATTCGAGCATGATTTGGTAGATGGCAATGTCAGTAGGTTGGACACACTTGCTAGAGTCGCTGCTGTGTATGGTTCTCAATTCAGCAGCATCAGCTGTGAGACAGGCAGAAGCCAGCCCGGGTCTCAGGGTTGTCATTAGAGACAGGCAGGAGGGGAGGAAGGGTTCTGATGTGATGAGAACTCAGAACGACAATGACACCTGCGCCCCCCACCCCCACCCCTGCTCCAGGCCTTGATGATGCTCTGCAGGACTATCCCTTTGAGGACTGGAAGCTGCCTGGAAAGTACCTGCTGCAGCTCTGTCCCCAAAGCCTCAAGGCTCTGACTGTGTGGCCTTTGGGCCACCAGGAGCTCATTCTAGATGGGGTGGAGCAGCTCCGGGCCCTGGTGAGTAAGCACAGGCCACATGGCTGTAGTATCCACTGCAATAGTTGTAGCACCCACCAGTCTAGGGGTTTGCCCAGGTGGGCTGGCTGTCGAGGGGGCAGTAATAGGCCCATTTTTGATGCAGGGCTCCAAGCTACAGACAGAAAACCTGCAGAGCCTGGCTCAGGGGCTGCTAGAAAGGACCCAGGCCTTTCAGAGCTTGGTCCAAGGCCGTCTGGGAAGCTGTGCTGAGACTCCTGCCGATGTCCTCACCGCTGCTGTAGAGCTGGTGCGGGAAGCCCATGCCCTCCTTTCCTGGCTCAACAGGTACTAGGGATGGGGTAACTAGTGACTCTTCTCATCCTTGGTCTCCTCTAGGGCCCGGGATTGAAAAACAGTACTTGGCTCTTAATCAGATCTGTCAGACAAGTCCAAGAGTCTGTCCGTGCAGGGACCCTGGGGCCGCCTTGCTTCCCACCCCACCCTGGAGCTTGTCATCTCAATGGTTTTATCAACAGTTGAGTTTTTGTTTGCTTGTTTGACGTGTGTGTGTGTGTGTGTGTGTGTGTGTGTGTGTGTGTGTGTGTGTGTGTATGTGTACGCACAGGGGTGTGTGCGAAGGTCAGAGCATCCATTGTAAGAATCAGTTCTCGCCTTCCACCGTGTGAGTCCCGGGGAGTGAACTCAGGTACTCAGGCCGTCAGCTTTGGGGGCAAGCGCCTTTAGGGATGAACAACCTCCCTAGTCCCTCAACAGCTATTGGACGAGAGCTTCCCCTTCACTGGCAGTTGTCTGTCCTTCGTGTCCTGCCTCAGATGTTACCTCCTTAGGGACACCTTGCCTGTGTGTCGCTTACAGATCATTGTCTGTTTAATGGTTGTCTCCACGGTACCTACAATAGGACCTGGCACATACGGGACAAATAGTCCTGTGCTGAGCAGAACCCACCAAAGTAGGAATTTGTCTCCAATTCTCAGGTGAGGAATTATATCTAACACAGTGTCTTAATTGTCCCTCCGGCCAGGTACCTCTTCTCCCAGTTAAATGACTTTTCTGCCTGCCAAGAGATTGGCGTGTTGTGCGGGGAGCTGGGCCAGGTCTTGCAGGAGGTAGGAGGACAGGGGCCAGGCCAGGCCAGGCCCCAGAGCTTTTTATAACCTGTGAATCAGACCAAGATTGGGGGTGAGAGCTGGGGGAGGGGAGAGCGAGAGAGTAGGAGAAGCCCTGTCCCTGGGTCTGGCTACCAGGCAATGGGGTGGGTCATGGGATGTCCCTGGCAGAAGCTCAGGTGGCGTTTGGGAAGGGTGGTAGGAGAGGACATGTGTAGTAATGGTTGAGTCAGGTGTCATGGGAGAGGAATGAAACCTTGGAGTTGAAACACTGAGACCATTATAGTTCTGGCAAGGAGACCCATGTAGAAAAAGCAAGGGAGGGCCATCAGAGGACTTCTCAGCCCCACCCCGTGTCCTCAGGGGGAAGTGGCCCCCACCCCTTTCTAAAAG